AAGATCTATTTAGCTTTAAAGTAAAGAACAAATATAGTTTACGAAATAATAACTATTTAAACAAAATATTTAGGAAATTAAATTTCGAGAAACAAAAGGAATTTTTAGTAAATGGTAGCAAAATACCGTTTACTAAAAATTAATGAAATAAAGAGGCCAAACAAATAATATAGAAATGGTCTATTTTAAACAGACTTTACAAGATCCGGGTCCGGTCAGCTTGGTTTACAAATTCTTATGTCTACTTATCTGTTACAATTTTTTTTTTTAGGTTTGCCATATGACGCATTGATGCATTGATGCAATATAAAAGATCAAAGCTTTCATATTTTGTTAAATTTGTTATACACGTATTTGATTGTAAATTAAATTTTTTTTTTGTTTGAAACGTATTTGTACTCAGCTGCTTAGTAGTTCCTGTATAATATAAGTTAACTTCATCTTTATCTTAATAATTAATTAAAGTTCATGTTATAAAAATTATTTACAAGGATTTAGTTAATACTTTTGTCAATTTAAAGCATGATGAAGTGTTATTTTTTTGTGTCAGTAACTAAAAACGTATTGTGTTGAACTTAGGAATAATGAGGAAAATGGCTCTGCCTTACACTGTTATGACCTATGTCAGTTTTGAATTACTCAAATAATGTTAAGTAGTAATTGTAAATGTTAAGTAGTAGTTGGTAAATTATTTTACCTCCTCATACTTTTTATGTTAATTTTACAGATGGATTAATTTTTTCAAGTTAAAGGCGTTTTTCTAAAAGGGTATTAGTTAAAGTTTTGCAACATTAAATTATGGAAAACAGTCACTATAACTTAGTTATGTAACAGACCGACCATAACCCGTATTAAGGGTTGCTTTTTGCTAGTGACATATAAAAGAAACATTAAGACTATGTAAAAGCATCTAGAAACAAAGATCAAAATACAAAACTTGGTGCAAGAGATCATACGTTGTCATTTTAATTGTTTAATTTTGCGTTGTTTAAATTTGCATTGTTTAATTGCATAATTTTGCATTGTTTAAATTGTTTAAATTTGCATAGCATTCAATTCATAGTTTATTTAATAATATATGCTGTTCTCCTTTCAAATTAAAGTTTGTAAAAAATAAAACTTTTAAATCACATCATTGGTTACTAGTTCGAGCTTGAAAGCCATTAAAAAAAGTGTAAACTAAATGTTTTACATATCTATCTGAACTCATAGAACTTCAAAACAAAGCAGAAGATCAACAGGTAGTATGTTTGTTTGGTTGAAATTCTGAACCTTGCTTGACATAAAGTATTGGATCATATCTACAACTTGTATTTGGAATAGCAATCTATATTAAACAAAAAGTTGACCATTTTCAGATGCTTGCTTGACTGAACTTTAAATGATCTTAAATTATTTTATTACAGTTGCTATTGGCGTTGAACTAAATTTCCATTTCCAAATTCATATACTTGTTTATAGTAGATAAACAGCAGAACATAAATCTATACATACACTATTTTGCAAAATTGATTAAATCATGTTACAAAGATATACAAAAATATTGTCGAAAACATGATACATATTTTTCTTTAATTTGAAAATCTTTAGTTTTCTTTTCTTGCACACAAAAACTTTAATACTTTTTGAAAAAAAACATTCTGCAAAAATACGCCAGAATTCACTATGGTATTTTCATTTGTATATATGGATAATATAATAGTAATGATATTATGATTTTATTATTTATGATATTATAGGTATTTTTATTGTTATTTTTTATTATTATTACTGTTATTATTATATTATTGTAATTATATGATAGTATATTTTGAGGAAAACAAATATTTTGTTATTGCTGTTATTTGTTGTTGTTATTGTTTGCATAAAGTGTTTCATCATAGTAGAAGCACTAAGATAAAAAAACAAAGATAAAACTCAAGAATGTGCTTGTTATAACTTTACCAGATATTTCATGCATGTTACACTCAAAATTTGGTTTTAGAAATAATTCCTTAGCCATCCTCACAAAATGACTAATAAACAAACCGGTAATCTTACAGTTACGCAGCCTAAAACAGTTTTATTTTTCCGCTTGTCAGTAGAGGCTTTACAAACAATAGGAATATAATTGAATTAATAAAGTGAAAAAAGATTGCTGCCCCATGCCAAACCCTCATTCGATGTAGCAGCACTTCCTTGTAGCAGCAGGCTATAAGATAGTCGATGTAGCAGCACGCTGTTGCGAGTCAGGCTATAAGATAGTCGATGTAGCAAAACCCCCTGGCGCAACAAGCGCAAAAATATAATTATTTTAGGCCGCGTAACTGTAGCTTTACCAACAAACCAACTACAGTAAACATGTTATGATTTAGTTTTCTTTATTATCAAAATATCTTAACAATTGCGGTTCACTTTGATATTATGATCACAAATTTTGTTCTAATATCATGATTTAAATATAAATTGTATAAACACATTTGTATTATAGTATAAAATCATGTTTCACAAATTTTGTATTTGATAAAAACATTTTACCACGCATGACCAATAATTAAATATTCACATAAAACCATTGCATAAAACAAATAATTTAACAATGCTTTTCGCATCTTAAATACTTAGTTATTCGCGAAAAAATAAACATTACGTCACCTAACTTTATGCTATGGAATCATGTTTCTACCTATTATATGATATATGTCAAATAAGATATAATATATATATATATATATATATATATATATATATATATATATATATATATATATATATATATATATATATATATATATATATATATATATATATATATATATACATATCTCTATATATATCTATATATATATACACATATATATATATATATATATATATATATATATATATATATATATATATATATATATATATATATATATATATATATATATATATATATATATATATATATATATATATATATATATATATATAAATATTTACACTTAAATAAAAATATAATTTTTTACACATTTAATTCTATAAAAACATACAAATATATATACTTATATATATATATAAGGTAAGAAATAAAAAAAGTATAATATATAACAATGTTACATAACAAAATCAGACTTCAAAACAGGTCAAAAGAAGTCATTTGTGTAATTAGAGTTTATTCCTGGTCAAACACCAGTCAACTCAAATTGTTTTCTACAGTCCCTTGAAAGCAAGAACATATATAGACATAACATTATAGATATATGTAGACATAACATTATAGAACATATATAGATATAACATATAAGCAAGAATATATATATATATACATATATACATATATGTATATATATATGTATGTATTTATATATATATATATATATATATATATATATATATATATATATATATATATATATATATATATATATATATATATATATATATATAAACATATATATATATATATAAACATATATATATATATAAATATATATATATATATATATATATATATATATATATATATATATATATATATATATATATATATATATATATATATATATATATATATATATATATATATACAGGGCCGGCGCGAGTAGGTGTCACGTGGGGAGGTGCCATTACATTTGACCGACTATAAAAAAAAAAAATGGTCCTCGTTTTTCAAAATTTGCCGACTGCCATGACAACATTTGCCGACTGTCTAGATTACTGACTAACCTATATCGAAAAGGTCGGTATTTGCCGACTAACTAGTCTAAGCCGACAAAAACTCATTAATGGGACGGGGGTGTCACACCCTCTCACCCTTCTATCGCGCCGGCCTTGTTTATATATATATACATATATATATATATATATATATATATATATATATATATATATATATATATATATATATATATATATATATATATATATATATATATATATATATATATATATATATATATATATATATATATATATATATATATATATATATATATATAGTATATATATATATATATATATATATATATATATATATATATATATATATATATATATATATATATAACGCCGCAGCCATGACTGCAGAAAGTTTTCATGACATGACTCCAGAGGGTTTTTTCTTGCTCTCTCTGCATTCTCTATTTTTGCCACGTTATTCAAGACTTGTATTGTAAATACTAGTTTGGTTATTAAAAAAAAACAATTTGTATAGAAAGTTTTATCTTACATAAAGAAAGGTTTTACAAGAAGATTTTTACCATATTATCTTACATAAAAAAAGATTTTACATAAAAAAGTTTTTTATCATATTATGTTACATAAAATAAATAACAAACTTTAAGCCCTACTAATACTAGGGCTTAAACTTTGTATTATATTAAATCATTTACACGTGATTATTAACAGTTTGATTTAAATATTTATTTAACTTTATTATTAAATATGATTTAAATATTTCATTGAGTCAATAATAAACTTTAAGCCCTACCATTAGTTGGACTTAAAGTTTGTAAAGTTTGAATTATAGTAATGTAATAGTATTAAGTTTGTATTATAGTAATGTAGTAGTATTAAGTTTGAATTATAGTAGAATTATATTAAATCATTTACGCATGATTATTAACAGTATAATTTAAATAAATTTAAATTGAAGTGTATTATTTCGTGTCATGATTTTTTTTCTATAATGGTAAAAATGTTTATTATTGTTTTATGAAAAATTAAACATAAATTGTATTTTTGAAAAAATAATAACATATAAGTAAACAGGGTTTTGCTATCAGATATTAAATACATAATATCTAAATATATTGATGTACATAATATCTAAAACCATCCTATGAATTTCAGTTTTTAAAGTTAAAAACATTTACACCAAATAAACTCAAATGTTGAAAAAGTAGATGTAAATATACAGCTATAACGTTTTTTGTATATCTTATTGTTTGTGTAAGTTAATATTATGTACTTTTTTGATTTGATTAATTAGTTTCTTCGAACTAATTTCATAACATTCAATAATACTTTACATAATTTTTTAGCACAACTTTAATTCACTGAACTAAATGGAATCAAATCAAGAAGATTGCAATAAATTTAGATATTTTATGGGTAACTTTTTATATTTTTAAATTCTTGGTTTCAATGATGTAAAATTAAAGTTTATTTGGTTTTAATAATGTTTTTATGTATTGTTATTTTATGTATTGTTATTTTTATTATTATTGTTGTTACTACAATTATTGTTATTATTATTATAGTAGTATAATCTATTAATACAACTCCTAATTTTTGAGAAATTATTTCTTCCTCCATTCAAATTCTGATTCTAGCTGCCGTAGCCCCCCTTAATTTCCGCCTCAGCCCTTCCCCAACTTCTTGATCTTCGTGCGCCACAGGTAGTAATAGTTTTTTTAGTTTTCATTGGAAATGTGTTTTCTTTTAGGAACTTAATTTTATAAAGGAGAGAAGATATATAGTATTAAAATAGAATGGTTTATATGTGGACTGTATGTACTCTTGTGTTTATATAATATAAAAAACTTTTTTTTGGTTGTATTAGATTATATATATATATATATATATATATATATATATATATATATATATATATATATATATATATATATATATATATATATATATATATATATATATATATATATATATATATATATATATATATATTCATGCAACATGCAAAAAAGTGAAATCAGTTAGCGTAGAGGTTAAAATCGGAATGAAAATATCGAAAGAATGGTCTAATAATAAAATTTCCTAATGACAAAAATAGAGAGCAACATTTATTTTTGGTACGTAAAAAAATATCTGGTCACACAAAAAAATTTGGAGTTTAGACTGCATTAAAGATAATAGGAGAAACTATAAAAAAACACCTCTTAAAAAAATATTTTAAAATCTTTAACGCGTTAAAAAATTGTTACAGCAAACATTTTTAGAACTGCATAAAAAATTTAAAAGCAATATTTAAGTGTTCCTGAAGCTAAAGACCTTTTTCAAGTATTATTTTTTGTCTATATAATTTTATAAACTTCAATTTTTTTTAAATTTAAGTTTAAAAATAAAACTGCTTCAGAGTTGGTTGATTTAAGTTTATTGCCTGACTCTGTCTTGTCAACTACTTTGTATGATGCATTAAAAATAATGTATTTTCAGCATTATCAATCTAACTCCAATCATCTTTATTTTTTATCCAAAATACTCAAAATTGATGATCTAGTTCAACTATTAAATTGTCATTTTGTCTTTAATTATAAACAAAAATGTCTACCCAGCACATTTACAAATTTTTTTACTGTTAGAGAAAGCTGTCGCTATCATCTACGATCTGCTAATAGCTATAATCTTCATGTACCAAATCATTCTTCTGTAAAATATGGTCTAAAATCCATAAAATACTAAAGTGTAAAATCATGGAACAGTCTACCTTCACCATTAAAATCAATTGACTCTATTACTAATTTCAAAAACTGTCTTTTTAACTATTTTTTAGCAAGATATTATACCTGAAGACTCTGAAATATGTTGTTATGCTTTTATTATTACTACTTTCTTGATACCTACTAGTTTTATTATTAACTTTTTGTTTTCATATTTTTTTTGTTATTATTAGTATTGATATTAATAATATTCTTCTATCTTTATTAGTAAATTGTTATTTTTATTTATAACATAATAAGTATTATTATTGCTTTTTTAATTTTTTCTTAAGTTTATTTACTACTTATACTATGTAACTGTTATTACCACTATTATTGATATTATCTAATATTGATTGTATAATATCTTTATTATTATTGTTAGTATTATTACTAATAATATTCCTTTTCATCGTCATCTTATTATTATTGTTAATATTATTTCTATAATTATTATTAATACTATTATTATTGTTATTATAATCACTTTTGTTGTAATGTTGTAGGTTTTTACTTTAGATTACTTGTGCTTATTTCAGAATATATTGAATTGAATTTAAAACTTATTTCAGAATATATTGAATTGAATTGATGCCAAATCATGCTAACAATAGCACCCTACATCAGCTTATTGATTGCATTTAGCATCATTTCAAAATTATGTGATGTAGGTACTTAAATAAAGCGAAATTTGATAAAAATTTCAAAATTAATATTTTATTCATACAAAAATTATTATTTTAGATTTTATTGCATAATAACTATAGTTTTTTAACTAAAAGTGAAAAAGGTGCATTTTTACATGTTTTTTAATAACAATTTTTTTTAACAATGTGATTTTTATAAAACGATTATTATTTTAGAATTTTTTATAAAATTTCCCTTCTTTTGAGCACCAGGTTGACCTACTTTTGAAAAAAAAATTTTCTCAAAAATATTAGGGTACCGGTAATTTTCCCAATAAAGTTGCGCCCTTTAAATCTATCAGAATCATTTGATTGTATCAATAATAATAACTATTAGCAATGTTTAGAGCCTGTAACAAGAAAAAAAATTTTTTTTACCTTTTCATAGGATTTCACAATTTTGTCCATGATATAAACTGATTTATTTAAAAAACCTTATCTTACTGAACCTCAATTGCTAAAAATAAGCAAAAAATAACATTTGTACTGTGTTTATGATATTATCATAAACCTATTATAAATATTATTTTTAATTAATATTAGTATTGCTTATCATTGATAAGCAATGATAACAATAAACCTTAATAATATTGTAGAATGAAAACAAGTATATTTTCTCCAGATCCATAATTGAAAATTGTTTGATTTAAATTGTTTGGGTTATTTAAATTGTTTGCGTTATTTAAATTGTTTGGGTTATTTAAATCAAAGGCAGTTATACGAAAATAAAATTTTAATAATAGGGACAACCGAATAAAAAAATTTATAATATAAAAAAAAAATATTACTAACTGAAAATATTATTAAAAATAAACGCAAAAATTATAAGAATATCATGATCAAAATCGTATATTTATTTAATTGTTATCGAGTCGATAACTGTTATCGAGTCGAAATTATGTTATCGAGTCGAAATTATGTTATCGAGTCGAAATTATGTTATCGAGTCGATAACAATTAAATAAATATACAAACACATGCATCTTGCTGAAATTCCAAGAAAATAAGTTTTATTTAACTAATTAAATTTACTTCAAATAAATTAAACTATGAAAAAAATGGAACAAATAAAAAAAAAAGTTTTTGATTTTCTCTGAGGAATTCATCAAAATAATTAAATCATAATTACCTTTAGCCGGTAGCGAGAATGGTAAACATTAAGTAGAAAAAAGTAAAAAAACGGTAAAAATAACGGTAGAAAAAGTAAAATGTAGAGTATGTATTATTACTATTATTGTTATTATTATTACACTAAACTTCATGTTCAGGTATATTTTAATCTTAGGTTAGTCAGATGTCAGGGAAACGACCTGATTGTTTTTTAATCTACTGCAGAGCCAAATTTTATCAAACATGAATGAGAAATTAATATTTTCAGAACATTGCGTATTAGCAAAAGATTACTCAGACGAACAAATATAATAAAAATATAAATAAAAATATAAATATAAATATAAATAAAAGAAGTAAAACATAGTTTATCGCAGTTTAGTTTCGAGTTAAAACACTGATGGTCAATAGCAAAGAAGAACAAAAATTTGTTTTTAATAAAAAGCTGTGATTGGCTAGATGGAAATATTGCAATACCTGCAGTACTGCATCAAGGGGGTAGGCCAACAAAGAACTTTAAAGAATTAAGCGAGAGAAGCAAAAAAAGAAAAACAGAAAACATACGTGCTACCACAAATTCAGAAACTTTGATTTGTGGTGCTCAGGTGGAATTAGGTGTTACAGGAAAATAAACTGCTTCCAAAATTTTAAAGGACATTATCCACTCCCCAAAGCGGGCAAAAATGTATAAGATAGCATACTCTAGCGTTTTACAGCGAAAAAAATCACAGCTATTGGTATTAAGTGCACTGGCCATGTTTGTAGAAGCTGATCTTTCCAGAAGACAATATGAAGTTCTTAGAAGTTCTTGTAAAACATTATATCCTTGCTATAGTATCCTGCAAAAGACAAAAATAGATTGTTATTCAAATAAGGAATCTTATTATGTCATTGAAACTTGTATCGCAGTCAATTTACAAGTTTTATTGGACCGTACCGTTACACGATTGGTCATGTACTTAGAAGAAGTAGTACAAAATTGAAACGAAAAAGAAAGAAATTCATTAATATTAAATTGTAAATGGGGTTGTGACGGATCACAGCAAAATCAACATCAACAGAAATTTCTGAATGACACCAATTCTGATGCAAGTATATTTCAGAGTTCTTTTATACCGCTTCAATTAACTTGTACTAAAAACAACAGATTGATCTGGCAAAATCCAACTCCTTCTTCGCCACGTTATTGTCGCCCTATAAAAATGAGATTTGTCAAAGAATCTAATGATATAAGAAATGAAGAGATAAAACTTAATGGAAATTCAATTATCTCTTTGCATGATACAAAATTGACAGTGGGTGGGAATATATTTTCAGTTAAACATAATATGATGCTCACTATGATTGATGCTAAGGTGTGTAACGCAGCCACTAAAACAGCTTCAACTATGAGATGATATATTTGTGGTGCAACATTAAAAGATTTTAATAAATTGACTATTGAAAAAGATGTCAAACCAGATACACTGAAGTTTGGATTATCAATTAGCATGCCATGATCCAAATATTTGAAAATTTATTGCATCTATCTTATAAGTTGCCTACTAAAAAATTGCAAGCGAGATCAGAAAATGAAAAATTAATTGTCAAACAAAAAAAACTAGAAATCAAAATTTAAAAAAAAAATAGGTTTTATTGTAGACGTACCTAAGCCTGGATTTGATAACTCAAATGATGACAACACTAGCCAACGATTTTTTGCAGACCCAGAATTGGCAGCTGAAATATTGTGTATTGATTATAACCTAATATATCGCTTTAAAATGATATTAGAAACAATATCTAGTGAACATATATTAGATGTCCAAAAATTTAGAAGATATACTGTAAAAACTGCAGAATTATATGTCCAGTTATACCAATGGTATCCGATGAC